GTTGTCAAAATGAATTTTAGCAACAGTCTCTCCATGACCAAGTTTGTTGAAATAGTGATGCACCATACTAACAACAGAGTGTGCTGCTTTGCCATTATTTTCAGCTTCATCAATTAAATAGAAACTTTGTTTTCCTACAAAACATTATAAACAAAGTTCACCATAAACCGTTGTGAAGACATTTAAAACAAAAGCATACATATCGTATACAATAGTATATTCACAAAGTACAGTTTAACATGTACATGATGTGTACAACAGAGGTAAATAAATAAAACTAAATTGTGTTTAAGAAATCTATTTCCATATATGTAACTACTCAATACATACATGAATCAAAATGGTATAGTTATTTTTATCAGAGTTATTTACCTTGAAAACTGCACCTTACAATGATCATGTACATCAAATATATATTTGTATGTCCAGTGATTATGTAAATCAGTCTATTTTAAAACTATAAATTATAATAAATCACATGTTCATGTTACTGCTACCAACTATCTATCAAAAGCATATATTTAATGTACAAGAATCAATAAAAAATTACCTGATCCTTCTGAGCAGACTCCAAACACATTACATTTTCTTAGTGTTTTAAAATAAATGGGTCCCACTTGCTGAGCATGGTGAGGAAAGTGAACTTGTTGGGCATAATCCCAGGAAAAGTGTATAGGTGGTCTGTACTGACTGTGGAGAGTTACCTGTAAAACACATGACTTTTGCAAGAGTTAACAACTAAATACATCAGATCGAGGATAGCCTGTTCAATAAAAGCTTTTGCCATTCATTAAAAAAGTATTCCTGCAATCATGGTAGTACAATTAAATCTAATTTACCTGATCCAGGTCATATTGAGTCCAAAAAGGACACATGAACATTGTATATTGAGACATGTACATGTATGTTTAGAAGTAGAAGTGTCAAGATTTTGTATGTTATTAATGGTTGTCTGGAATATTTGACCACTTATATACAACTGAATGTATATGTGAACAAAAGTCTGGAATAAAGTTCACCACTTAAAAAATGTTTATATATACTACTGTTTTACATATGAACAAATTGCATGCACTGACTATTTGGTAAGGACTTTATACATGTTATATAAATAATAATAAAAATATTCAAAAGTGCTCTAATAATATACTAGTTAATGGAGTGTGTGTCCGAGCGAGAACATCTCTATGTTCATTACTTTAGGAATATTTTCTCTTTGGTCGGGTTGTTGTCTCTTTGACATATTCCCCATTTCCATTTTCGATTTTATTTTTTACAGAGTTTGTCTTTAGTGCCGTGTGGAGACAGTAGAGTGCCTCCCCGTACTTCAGGTTTATGCTCTTATAATATACTAGTTGATGGAATGTGTGTCCAAGCGAGAACATCTCTATGTTCATTACTTTAGGAATATTTGCTCTTTGGTCTGGTTGTTGTCTCGTTGACATATTTCCCATTTCCATTCTCAATTTTATTTTTTACAGAGTTTGTCTTTAGTGCCGTGTGGAGACAGTAGAGTGCCTCCCCGTACTTCATGTTTATGCTCTTATAATATACTAGTTAATGGAATGTGTGTCCAAGCGAGAACATCTCTATGTTCATTACTTTAGGAATATTTGCTGTTTGGTCGGGTTGTTGTCTCTTTGACATATTCCCCATTTCCATTCTCAATCTTATTTATGAATATGTACTGATATCTAGGAGAGACATAAAGAGATATGTAATATTAATACAGAAGTCATACTTTGGCGGAATAAATTATTCAACCTTTACCTGATTGTTTTAGTGCATCTGGCGAGTCCATGTAGCTTTGCTTGCTAAGTTTCACCTGCTCACGATAGATAGTAGTCTCTTTATTCTTTGGCAAGCTGTACATGAATATTGTATTGATTTAACAATAACTGTTTTTCCTCCTCAGACAGATTTCCACTATTAAATATTTTACCAGCATATTCCTGACACTTTTGGCATAAATCAGTACATGCATTGTAACTACAATATTGGGACATAAATCATGCCACTGTCTTTGAAATGTTTTTACACTCAATACTTCATATATATTGCAAGTTTGTCAAATTCTGCATGAATGTCAACTGAATTTTTTGTCAGATGATAACAACAAAACTTGTAATTAGACAACCTGCCTGGCAGAGGCAAAGCATTATCAGTAGCATATTTGATAAGAAATGTTTTTATACTTTCTTAATTCTGAAATGTAAGGGCATGTTTTAGAAGTTTCCCTGTGCTAGCATGAGTTCTCGGAGATAATCCATCTACATCGAGTGATTTTGCAATAGAAAGTAATTTCTTTTTTTCAACTCCATGGATAAAACAAAATGTCTGTCTACATACCCGCTTTCATTTGAAATAAAACTCCTGGTATAAGCGTTCCCTTTCTTTAATTTTGTGTTTCTTGGTTTCGGTGACACTACCAGAACGCCTGTGTGCAAACAATTCAGCCTTGATTATCATATCAAGTTCATCTTTAAAAAGTTCCTTGCAATGCTCTCGGAATTCAATAACGGCGTCCATTTCAATGATCCGGCTACAAGGTTCACCATAAAATTCATTGCACCCGGAAGTGTCATTTCTAAAACGGGCCTGTGCAATATATTCTCGTATATCGTCATCTGAAGGTTCGACTAAATGATCGACATTGTCGTCGTCATTGTCAGATTCAAAATTTTCAACATCAAAATTAATCGCGGACTTTGGGTATTCGTAATCGTAAAAACAATTGGTCGACCCTATTCAACTCATTTATGAAATCATCATCTTGGTTCTGCAAAATCTCAAGCGGTACGCTACTCTGACTTGCCGAAAATCGACTTTCCTTGCTCATTTTATTGTCGAGCCTGCGACTTTTGTCGCAGAAAGCTCGACATAGGGATAGTGATCCGGCGGCGGCGGCGGCGGCTACGGCGGCGGCGGCGGCGGCGTTAGCTAACTTCTTAAAAGCTTTCTATTTTAGAAGGTGGAAGGTCTGGATGCTTCATACTTTGTATATGGATGCCTCATGTTACGAAGTTTCCGTCAGTCACATGTCCAATGTCCTTGACCTCATTTTTATGGTTCAGTGACTACTTGAAAAAAAAGTTCAGATTTTTTGTAATGTTAGATTCTCTCTTATTATAAGTAATAGGATAACTATAGTTGGTATGTGCGTACCTTGCAAGGTCCTCATGCCCGTCAGACAGTTTTCACTTGACCTCAACCTCATTTCATGGATCAGTGAACAAGGTTAAGTTTTGGTGGTCAAGTCCATATCTCAGATACTATAATCAATAGGTCTTGTATATTCGGTGTATGGAAGGACTGTAAGGTGTACATGTCCAACTGGCAGGTGTCATCTGACATTGACCTCATTTTCATGGTTCAGTGGTCAAAGTTGCGTTTTTGAGTTTTGGTCTTTTTTTCTAATACTATATGCAATAGTTCAACTATATTTGGTATGTGCGTACCTTGCAAGGTCCTCATGCCCGTCAGACAGTTTTCACTTGACCTCGACCTCATTTTATGGATCATTGAACAAGGTTAAGTTTTGGTGGTCAAGTCCATATCTCAGATACTATAAGCAATAGGTCTTGTATATTCGGTGTATGGAAGGACTGTAAGGTGTACATGTCCAACTGGCAGGTGTCATCTGACCTTGACCTCATTTTCATGGTTCAGTGGTTATAGTTAAGTTTTTGTGTTTTGGTCTGTTTTTCTTATACTGTATGCCATAGGTCTACTATATTTGGTGTATGGATGATTGTAAGGTGTACATGTCTAGCGGGCAGGTGTCATCTGACCATGACCTCATTTTCATGGTTCAGTGGTCAAAGTTGAGTTTTTTGAGTTTTGGTCTTTTTTTCTAATACTATATGCAATAGTTCAACTATATTTGGTGTATGGAAATATTTTATGATCTATTTGGCAGTCACGCAGGTTTTATTTGACCTTGACCTCATTTTCAAGGTTCATTGCTCAGTGTTAAGTTTTTGTGTTTTGGTCTGTTTTTCTTAAACTATAAGCAATAGGTCAACTATATTTGTTGTATGGAAGAATTGTTAGCTGTACATGCTTGCCTAGCATGGTTCATCTGACCTTGACCTCATTTTCATGGTTCATTGGTCAATGTTTAGTTTACTTGGTTAATGTTAAGTTTATGTGACAGTTGTAATAAAGCTTTATATTTAGGACTATCAACATAATATCAGTGATTAGTAAAGAAGGCGAGACATTTCAGCGTGTGCACTCTTGTCTGTTTTATACTTAGACCGCCATTTGTACTTTTGTATCCAGTGTAAATACAAAGAGGGACAATTTAAAGTTTTGTGACTGGTTTACGCCCCATGTTATGCATTTCAAGGTAAACAGAATAAATTTTTTTTAATAATTGATATAGAAATATTATACAATTTTATAAGTGACAAAAGTTCAGTCTATATTCAACCCTACCGCCAACCTATTTACAAATAGGTAATTACGAACTATAGGTGTTCGGTGCTCGTTTAGATTTGACAATGTCAACTTTACGAGACTTTACGACGTCATAATACGAAATCGTAAATGCCGCATCTGGGCCCTTTTTGTCAGTCGCAGTAATATCTGAATACAGGAAATGTATTTTTTGCCATGGTTAATAAACACTAAATTAAATAAAATGAAGTTCCTTTTTTTTTTTTGCAAAAGTGCAATAGGGTTCACATATTTGAAAAAATAAGATTAAAGCTTAAGTTGAAAACAAATCTATTGTAGTGCTCCGCATTGCCCATAAAATGTTTTGGTATACACACAACAATCATTGTTTGCTGAAATCAGTTTGTTAATGAGTAGTTTTCATATTTTATTGATTTATTTTTGTTTTTTTAAAATGTCTAATTTCCAGTAGTTATTGTAGTTATATGACAAATAATTGTTTGATGTTTAACGTTTTAAAAATGATAGTTTACTAACAATCGTATGAAAGATAAGAGGCAAGTTTACTTTTGTTATAATACATCTGTTTGTTAATTCAGTCTGGAACCGGAGAAAAGAAACAGCACCAGCCTACAGTCTCCTGGTTTTCCTGATGATTGCGATGAAGTCCATGAAGAAGGTACTTTATTGAGCCAAATATCAAATTAGGTAAACTAAAGGACACACCAATAGATTGAACAGTTCTATTATAAGTGGAGAAAATAAAAATATGATTTCAGACTAATGATCAGTAAAATTGTTATATTTTAAAATATCTGCATCATGTATGCTTGATGCCAAATGTTTGCAAGGATAGATAGAAACAAATATTTGAGAAAGAATCAAGAAACAAACACATCGAGAAAATGACGAAAAGCGGATGGGCGTAACTTTAATCTATAAGCATTTTTAGATTGAAGTCTCTGAAACTGAATAGTATTTTTTTAACCATGCTCCAATCGGATACAAAAAAACACATTAACAAAATGCCTATTTCCATCAGAAAAAATTACATAAATAAAAACAAAGATGTCTCCCTACAATGAAAAAATAGGAGGAAAAAAAATGACAAAGATGAGCGTAATAGAAATGTTGTGACAATGGTAAAATGTTGGTAGGAATTAAAGGGATGTCCATAACTATGCATTGTTTATATATATATATTAAAATCATGAACATTAAACATACAATTAGATAAGCTATTTGCTGTTTAGACTTGACAAATTGATGAAACATAATGATCTCTCATGTTGAGATCCTGTAGCTTGTTATGTGCATCAATTTTACTCCAGTAAAAACAATTAGAGCAAGAACAACTGTGGTATAATTAAGGAGTTGTGGTATGATTGTGAAAAAAATATCCAACAGAGACCAAAGGACATCCTACGCACACATAACTTGGGACAGTCGTACAACAGCACAACATAAACTCAAACTGTAAAAAAACAGTTGGAAAGCACATGAACTCATCAGATCAGCAATATCTGAAGCTTAGCTTACCCGATATAACTTTATTTAAATAAGAACTATGGTGTTGTATGTGTTATTACTTTTTATTTTAACGATAAGCAATATATATTTTTTCGATCATTTCCTGATATATAAATACCTAAGTAGTCCAGATCGCACACTTAGTGACCCCTGTATTTTAACAGCCTCACTTGAGAAGGGAAAAAATCAAATGCGTTTAGACTCCCATTGTTTTACATACATATATTTAAATAACAATTGATTTTACCTGATAAGCATGACTGTAATACATAATCATTCTCGTTTATCTGGTTCACTGACTAACATGAGTTGATTTAAAGGGGCATTAGCTGTCAAAATCATGTTCACCGAATTGACACAAATTATCATATTTGATTTATAACATACTAAAACACATATCCAAATTATTATAAGTCTTAGATAAACAGTTAACAATGCATATACAGGACAATATATATCAGAACTGCGTGTGTATTTTAGTCTAGACGCCATCTTATTAACTATCGAGATGACCTCCGAAAACTACCGACGGTCACATAACACTATATAAACATAAACATAAAATATAAATAGATAGCGACCTCGTGCAAATGTATTTTTCTATGCCGGTTTGATTTTATGTTATAGGTTAAAAAAATAAGTTAATTTTCGAATAATTCATCATCGATGTTTCTTAGCTTATTTTGACAAAATTGAACCATACTGGCTGCTAAATATTCCATGAGCAAGTTATTTCGTACCTTGACCATTTCGTACCTCTGCCATTTCGTACCCAGAATATTTGTAAAAGTTAAAAAAAATTTAAGATAAAAAACATTTTGAGATGATTTTAATTTTTTTTTAAATAACATTAATAAAATGCATCCAGCCGTAGAAATGTTATAAAGACCGATGATTGGTTTGACTTAGCAGCACACTTTGTTTGTTTGCACGATTTATCCTTAATTAATTTTTCAACTCTAAAAATATGATGTTAATTAACCAACAAAGGAATAAATATCTGCAACTGCTTTTATAGTTATTACCCGTTGTTTTCGTCAGTAAATGCAGTGAAAAGGGACACAAGCTGATATTCACCCAAGAAAGAAGCCATGAATAAAAATGTTTGCATAAGAATTTGCACCTTTTAAGGCCAATCAAAGAACTTGCTATGGCTTTTTCAATTTGAGAAATTACAAGTTCATTTATTTTAAATCCTTATATCTTACCTTCTAAATTTCAAAAAACGTTTGGTAAATATCTTTTTTTTTTGTGTATTGCATATTTTCTAAAAGTATTATTTAAAAAAATACCATGCATATGATATATACATTTAGGTTCAACTACACTTTACGATAATCAATTGAATATATATCAATATTTAGGCGGCACACGTCACAATTTCTAATGGCACGTGTATTCAATAAACATTTTATACAATTAAATAGAATGCCACCTTTTTTAAACAATACGCCAGTACGGCGCGTATCTTTAGTTACAAATGTATACAAAAGTAACAAAATCAGTGTTATCGGCAGAAAAGTGAACTTTTACTAAAGCGCCAGCTAATATCTGAAATAAATATCTTAAAAACAAAGTTTTACAGATTTAAAAAAAAATTCGTTTATATACATACAAATCTTCCATGAGGTACGAAATGGTATACATACAAATCTTCCATGAAGTACGAAATTCCATGAATACAAATCTTCAATGAGGTACGAAATGGTATACATATAAATCTTCCATAATTTACGAAATGGCGCACATCAATGAGACAGTTTGTACCAAGAAATGAAACACTAATAAATCTTCCATGAGGTACGAAATGGTATACATGTAAATATTCCATGAGGTACGAAATGATCAAGGTACAAAATGGTCAGGGTACGCAATGGTTTTTGCCAGGGTACGAAATGGGGGGTACGAAATGGTTAGGGTACGATATGTCTATAATTCTGAAGATTCGATGTTTATAGTCAACGCAGTCTTTTCGGACATATCTTTGTTTTACAGTAGGAACATTTAGAACCGTTAAGACAGTCTCTTGCAAAATGCACAATTTCTGAACAATTATAGCAGCGCTTACTATGATTTGGTTTATCTTTGCTAGCATAGGAAGAGTTATTTCTTTGTTTACAATATATACATTCTGTACAACCATTGTCGGCAAACATTCGGACATCATATCTCCTAAATATTGTTTTGTTTGATATTGTCGGAACACAAATAATGATTTGATTGTATCTTGAACCATTTTCTATATTTTTTCCTCGAAAATATCCCCGCTTTACTGAACTCGGAACGACATTGCCATACTGAAGCATTTGTGTAGCTACATAGCAGTCATTTAGTTCATATGGAAGGTCTTTGATTGTTATGTTATCAAAGGTACCAGGCTTATAATTTGATACGACAGACGCGCGTTTCGTCTACAGAAGACTCATCAGTGACGCTCAGATCAAAATAGTTAGAAAGCCAAACACGTGTAAAGTTGAAGAGCATTGAGGACCCAAAATTCCAAAAAGTTGTGCCAAATACGGCTAAGGTGATCTATGTCTGGGATAAGAAAATCCTAAGTATTTCGAATAAATCAAACTTTTGCAAACAGTAAATTTATAAAAATTACCATATAATTGATATTAATGTCAACATCGAAGTGCTGACTACTGGGCTGGTGATACCCTCTGGGACGAAACGTCTACCAGCAGTGACATCGACCCAGTGGTGTAAATAGTTATCAAAGGTACCAGGCTTATAATTTGATACGACAGACGCGCGTTTCGTCTACAGAAGACTCATCAGTGACGCTCAGATCAAAATAGTTAGAGAGCCAAACACGTATAAAGTTGAAGAGCATTGAGGACCCAAAATTCCAAAAAGTTGTGCCAAATACGGCTAAGGTGATCTATACCTGGGATAAGAAAATCCTTAGTATTTCGAATAATTCATATTTTTGCAAACAGTAAGTGTGTGTTATTTTGTTGTCTACATCAATAAATTTGACACTTTTACTTTTTATTGTTGAATCACACTATTAACCTTTCTTTGGCATCTAGGTCGCTTAAAGTAACAACACAACTTTTTAAGTCAGTTGGAGTGATTTACCACTCTCTAATTTTATTTGATTTTCAAGTTCCTTTATTATTTCATCATGTGTTATCCCTTTAAAACCACGAGTATAAAAATGAACCGATAGTATTCTTTGTATATTGGTCGTTTTGAAAGTTTTGAAAAACTGGTGAGTTGAATGCAGATGTCACACAGATTAAAATGTCGATAGAATCTCACTATCTCCTGTATTTTACAATCAAAAATTTATCGGAGCTCCGAAAACACTCACTCTGCAAGTTGGGAGACAAACAATCGTATTATTACTTTGATATACTTGTACAATTTTAACACAAACACCATTTTATTACCGACCAGTCGACGCTTTCAACAGTGCGCTATACAAACACCAACATCGTGCTTAATAACCCCTGCAAAATAATTTTTTAACTAACTAATTACTTATGTTGTGTATACATTTGCATGATATGGCAATTATATGGACATTTTTGGATGTGAGCAAGAAATATAATCTCTAAAGAAAAAATGACCTCAATATACCATAAAGATAAGCAAACTCACTAATTTAAGTGCTGTTATTAGAAGCCGTTGGATATCAATGTGCTCGCCTGACAGTTGCAATCACCCAATCACCACAAACATGTGCAGACTGATATGAAACTCACATGAGACATTTCAATAAGGCAATCTGCTTTACTAAATTGTCCGGTGTTTCGGAAATTTACATTACAATAATTTATAGCCCTATTTGAAAATAAAAGTATCTAAACGAATAACTAGTTTGTGACACTTTTGTATGAAGATGTACCTCCCGAGGAACATACACTTACCAGTAAAATGTGATGTGGGGTATTCTTGACAACCAGACACTAACCAAATGTCAAGTAACTTTATATTATCACATTTCAGTCCTATCTCCATTCCAACCTAGTGCAATGGCCCAAGCTGCTAGTGGTTGTTATGAATTCCCAGCACGGTTACGTACCCTTCACAACCTAGTCCTCCAGTATGCTTCACAAGGACAATACGAAGTAGCTGTACCCCTATGTAAAAAAGCATTAGAAGAGTTAGAACTGACCAGCTGCCATGATCATCCTGACGTAGCTACCATGTTAAACATTTTGGGTCTTTTATACAGGTAAATTGATGCATTTAAAAATGATTGGAGAAAGTGATGTTTAAGCTATATAATATGAAAATATTTGGAAGACTACATAAGATGCATTAAAAAAAGTAGTATTCTGAATATGTTTTGAGCCATATTGATTTGTTCCATGGTACTCAAGTCATCAGAGCTTATGAATTATTAATTTTTATGCCCCGCTAAGGATAGCAGGGCATACTGTTTCCCAATCTGTGCATCTGTTCATCTTTTTTTTTTATCAGGTTGAAGTTTTGGTTGAAGATAGTTTACCATGAAGTTGTCATAATATCAACTTGAAACTTAGTACCTTGTTCATTATAATGTGATCTTTCTAAAATATATGCCAAATTCAGTTTCTTTTGAAAAAAGCATCTAACCATTGTTCTCGTTTTAAGATAGTTATAGATTATTTATGTTTTTGAACTCAACATATTGTCTCGACCTTTTCTTATCTCTTGGTAAATAAAAATCACAAAGGAGAGTATATATAGCTATTTTCTCAGGCAACATTAATGAATGAAAAATAGATGTGCAGATGTGTATAGATATAAGAAGATGTGGTATGAGTGCCAATGAGCCAACTCCTCATCCAAGTCAAAATTTATAAAAGTGAACCATTATAGGTCAAAGTACTGTCTTCAACACGAAGCCTTGGCTCACACCGAACAGTAAACTATAAAGGGCTCCAAAAATTACTAGTGTAAAACCATTCAAACGGGAAAACTAACGATATAATCTATATAAAAAACGGGAAACGAGAAACACTTATGAACCACATCAACAAACTACAATTACTGAACATCAGTGTTTGATCCAAAACTCTATAGATTTTGTTTCTCGCCAGATGTTTTTATTTTATGTGCACATGTGTGAGGTGATGATCTTCCTTTTAAACTGTGTCATTTTGAAATTGATGGAAAGAATAAGGGTTGACACAAAATTCAATGTTGACACAAAAATAGATGTTGCCACAAAAATATAGGTTGACACATATTAAAATTAAGTACAATAGGCAACAAGAAACCTATATTTGGTCACTTATCCTTGTATAAACAAATGATTCAACTTCTTTTCTAAATCTTGATGAAAATTAAAGAACAGTACTAATGTTGTTTATTTTTGTTCAATTTTCAGTACAGTGCAGTTTTAAAAAATGTCGTTAATCGGTTTTTAATTGTTTGTTTTTGTTTGCTGCTGCTATTTTTGTAGAGATCAAGAAAAATATATAGAGACTAGTAATCTCCTTCACAAAGCCTTAAAAATACGGGGAAAACATTATGATATGATCATCCTGCAGTGAGTGCATTATTGATATAAATCTTGGGAGATAGCTTGATGTATGTAAACAGCAAGAAGGTCAAACATCCTAGGGGAAAATTCATAAAAACGCTTGGCCCTTCAGCATGAAAGTTACATAATTACTTTGATTTTCCGGGGAATTTGCGAAGATATTTTTTATTTCAAAACTCGGACAATACAATATTAAATTTTCTAGGATTGCTGCACTGGTATATTACATCAAGTTCCTTTCATTCTGTAAAACATCGAATTGATATTAATGAATACAATATGTGATTTGAAATTTGCAGAGACCAAGGAAATTATAAAGAAGCTGCAAACGTGTTGAACGATGTTTTAGGTATCCGTGAGAAAACGTTAGGAAAGGATCACCCAGCAGTGAGTTCTTGTACTGCATGTATAATCCATGGTGGTTCATGTTGTACCCAGTAACATACATCACCTGTGCATTGTCATTCTCACAAACTCACTAGATTCTTTTCATCTCACGAAGAAAGCCATTCTTTTCTGTAATATCTTTTCATATCAAGACGCCAACAAAATCAGTTTTTTCTGAAAATTTAAAAACCTTTTCAAATTTTATCTATAGAAGACATTCATTGATATAATTTCTGCTTTAAAATGACCTATATTGTTTAGTGTGCATCAAGTAGCTTTTGCAAGAATTTAAAAATTTCAGAATTTTAAAATGACCTTTATCGCAGCAAAAGAAATTCACTGTTGAAGTATAGAAAATAATGTAAATTGAAGATTTGCACACACATCTTTGAGGTATTTTGTTTTGATATATAGAAACTTGTAAACAATGAAAACATTTTAAAAAAAAAGTAAAAATGTTACTATTTCTAAGAAGAAAAACACTTGTGCTATTATTTTATACAGTGTACAGGTGGTGTTAAGCGGAATACCTGTTTTTTTTTTTTTTTTTATTTTACCTGATTATAATTTTCTATTTAATTTATATGGAGAGATATGGTAAACTATATCAGATTATGATGTAGTTAATTGCTAAAATACTATATCATGTTTAAATGTGTGCATGAATTTTGTAACTAATTTATGTATAATATTTTGAACAATTGGGTTCCTTGTTAAACAAATGGCAGGGGCTAAAGTTAAAAAAAATGACATGTTTCAGTTTCATGAAAATAGTTTTAAAAGTATTCATGAAGTTTGCTGAATTTCTAACTAACGTAGCTTTAGTTGAATAGAAGGTTAGATAAATACTTTTGCTAGACCTTGTTTAGATTCATCTTTCTGGTTCACTATAAATTCCCTGCATGGAAGAAGAATTTTGACCTAAACCTCTAAGTGGTTTGAACAGCAATAACTTATCCAGGTACATTTAGTTATACAACTATCTTTGCATTATGGTTATTCATATCTTTATAACATACCTTTACATATTATAACGGAACAAATACATGCACTTGTAGCCACCTAATACTTAAACTAATTTGAATATTTTTACCTGTATAATGTACAATTTATTGCCCCATGTCGAATAACAATTCCTGCACCGTCTTCAGTTTTCAGCAATACTTTTCGATGTCTCTGTTCCTTTTAATACTATGTAAGGACCATTTAAAAGAAAATGCTCTGCTTTGCTCCTGTTTTTATTTAGTGACATATCATTTAACTGTGGCCTCAACAGAAAATAGGAAGGTGTAAAATATTTGCAAATTCATTCAATAGTTTGTTAAAGATATTCACAAAAATATGCATCATTTCATAAATTAAAGGCGAAAAACAAACTAGGACACAAAAGGCATATTCAATGACTGGATAGTTCAAACAAGTAATGCAGTATTTTGGTATAGGTAATTATTGGCAACCTGAAATATATTTTCTCTCTAACATCTTTTGACAGGCTTTTACTGGGATAAACAAGGTTTGAAGAATTTCCATTAACTATATATTCTTCCAGCAGAAAATCATATAATGTACATTGTTGTTTTAAAGTTGTAATCTTATTTCATGAATAAATTTGTTGAATTAACAGGTAGCTGCAACATTAAATAATTTGGCGGTGTTATATGGCAAGAGAGGGAAAAATAAAGAAGCAGAACCTTTATGTAAACGTGCTTTGAAAATAAGAGAAAAAGTGAGTATTGGCATAGGGAGAATGTAAAAAATAAAAGTATTTTCTGTAGGCATGGAGCTTTTCAATTGATTAAATGCAGTTATAACATTTTACTCAAACGATCATCATTTTTCTGACTGTACTTATGATAAAAAGGATATATTCTAAACAAAATACAAAATTATCATTGTAATTAGTTTATATTAAATGGATAATCCCACAAATTTCTGTGACAGATTTTAAAATGTATGATTGCGGTGTATTTTTTTTTTGACTGAATAAGAATGGATATAACAGTTTTGTATTCTAAGGTATGCAACCATCTAATCGTAAATCTTCAAATGCAATATTTTTATCTACTAAATGTAGATATGTAGATCTTTAGTCAGATAATGAACTTTCTTAGGTTTGTTTAAATTCTGTGTATATATATTTAGCATTATATTTACAGGTACTTGGTAAAGATCATCCAGTTGTTGCCAAACAGCTTAATAACTTGGCTCTTTTATGTCAAAATCAAGGAAAATATGAAGAGGTAAACATTCTTCAAAAAATTTACCATAGAGCTTCAAAATAACTTGGTATTATATTCATTTGACCTGAATAACAAAAGATTAAAGACAAAGGCCACTTTTTATCTTACAATCATATCAGTTATTGATAGATATCAATGATTGTTGTTTAATTAGATTCATATGTCTTGTCAACTGCGTAAGATATGATTATTTGAACATCAAGTACAGAACAAAATTACAGAGCAGAATAAAAATTTGTTTCTTTATTGTATAATAATATCCAGGTATTTCATGACATTTTGTTTTACATATTTTAAATCTTAGGGAGATGTGAGGTATACATCAATGAGGCGGCGACCCAGTGACACAAAATACTGGAAATCATCTAGAAGTCAGCATATCGCCTTCAAGAATAGACATAAGTTTATGAATGTATATTCTTGTGCAATATTTTGATTAGAAACCATATGAATGTGAAGGTAGTGGTCAACACCATCAGGCATACAAAATCAAAACGATGACAAATGATGAATTGAATGTCAATTTCGTTTTCGAAGATTTCAAAATAATATTTGTTATTCAATTCGATTTATTTTGAATTTGTAAATATAATTCAGGCTACTCTAACTATAGAATGTAAATGCTTTATAAATCGATCAGTTAATTAGTTTGAAAAATCAAGTTTACACAGGGTTAGAATTATTTGTGATGTACATGTATTTATTGTGATTTATCCAGGTAGAACAGTACTATCAAAGAGCTTTAGAAATATATGAAAGTAAATTAGGTCCAGATGATCCAAATGTTGCTAAAACCAAGAATAATTTGGTAAGGATGGCCGTACAATGTTGTCTTGTGCCTTACCCAAGACGAACGTTTATTTGGATGCTGTAAATTGCATGTGGCTAAATTTGATTTTATTTTGAAATATATTATGTTTTCACATAGGTGTGGGGCTTCAGATATAGGTAGAATTAAACAATAATTCATTACAGCATGTGGTTGGATTTATTAACATTGGTTGGCCTTATCTGTTGGCTGATATTCCTGTTACTAAAATGGGAAATGTATCGGGGCAATTTCCACAGTTTGGCTTATCCATGGTGTTAATGAAATCAAACCATGGAATTTGATGATTTTTTTTTTTCCATTCTGTTATAAAAATATGCTACAAGTTTCTTCGCAAAAGAAAAGTGTGTGGTCATAGAGTTATCCTGATTGTAATTTGCTTAGTATTTATAAATTGCTGTATGTAAGACGTCATTTAAGATTACCTTTTATATAAAGAAAAATCAATATCTCTTTTAACCACCTTAAAATTATATTTATGTTTGCTCAAAAGCAATTTTTTAGAGAAGCAATTCTAATATAAAAGAAGATTGTTACGGTTAAATTTTTCTTTTCTGACTTAAAATATAACTTTCGATGTTCTGAGAATTCCAATTAAAACAAACCATGTCTCTGTTAAGTTGCACCTTTGTGAAGACATAAAACTGTTTATATGGAATATTATTTCTTTTGCTTGTTTTATATGTTGTGTTATGCATGATTTTGGTTGATTTGGCAGGTTGAACATTTTTAGAAACATATTTGAAACGTTTAGGTACAGACGATTCTAATGTTTCTAAAACAAAAAAATAATTTGATAAGGTTTTATTTTAGCTACGTTCTCTTCCTTTTTTGCCTTTTCGTGACTTATGTTATGTTGTTATATTATTTTTATGATTTCTGAAGAATTATTTAAAGTGTGCAAACAGCATCTTTTTCATAAATCCAAAAAATTGGTCTGAACAATTTTTTTTTTAAATTGAATTTTCTATAAAATACATACATATATATAATTTAGACTTGTTTATATTTTTTCGTTTGGGTTTGTATTATATTTGCCTTCGGGTTTATATGATCCGTTCGTCCTATTTCGACTCTTTCAAAATTCAAGAGTCTATCCTAAATTGAGGTAAATTATATGGCATCCAAATACTGTTTCGATTCCTAACATCACTGAAGAGACATTAATTGTCGAAATCCGGATATGGTGTACAAATTTTTGCACCTCATGTTTGCGGTATACCATCTTTTCCGCAAGTTTATTATTTTCTGTTTGGTAATAAATTATTATAAGATCCATTTTGTTACATCTGGTGATCCGTTTATTTGGCAATCGCCAATGGCAGTCAGCAGGGTTTAAGAACATCAGTTGTTCGACCTGCTAGTCAAATGCGTTTTGTTAAAATATACTTTTTCACTTTTTTGGTCTTTTGGAAAATGTTGTTTGTGCTGTATTTAGACCCCTCTACCAAGAAATTTGTTTTGCATGCACAAGTATAAAAATTGCGATTTTTATCCAACGCAATCATAGGTTTGAACGTTGTTTTCAATTTAGACTTGTTTATATTTTTTCGTTTGGGTTTGTATTATATTTGCCTTCGGGTTTATATGATCCGTTCGTCCTATTTCGACTCTTTCAAAATTCAAGAGTCTATCCTAAATTGAGGTAAATTATATGGCATCCAAATACTGTTTCGATTCCTAACAACCTGAAGAGACATTAATTGTCGAAATCCGGATATGGTGTACAAATTTTTGCACCTCATGTTTGCGGTATACCATCATTCCGCAAGTTTATTATTTTCTGTTTGGTAATAAATTATTATAAGATCCATTTTGTTACATCTGGTGATCCGTTTATTTGACAATCGCCAATGGCAGTCAGCAGGGTTTAAGAACATCAGTTGTTCGACCTGCTAGTCAAATGCGTTTTGTTAAAATATACTTTTTCACTTTTTTGGTCTTTGGGAAAATGTTGTTTGTGCTGTATTTAGACCCCTCTACCAAGAAATTTGTTTTGCATGCACACGTATAAAAATTGCGATTTTTATCCAACGCAATAATAGGTTTGAACGTTGTTTTCAATTAAGACTTGTTTATATTTTTTCGTTTGGGCTTGTATTATATTTGCCTTCGGGTTTATATGATTCGTTCGTCCTATTTCGACTCTTTCAAAATTCAAAAGTCTATCCTAAATTGAGGTAAATTATATGGCATCCAAATACTGTTTCGATTCCTAACATCACTGAAGAGACATTAATTGTCGAAATCCGGATATGGTGTACAAATATTTGCACCTCATGTTTGCGGTATACCATCTTTTCCGCAAGTTTATTATTTTCTGTTTGGTAATAAATTATTATAAGATCCATTTTGTTACATCTGGTGATCCGTTTATTTGGCAATCGCCAATGGCAGTCAGCAGGGTTTAAGAACATCAGTTGTTCGACCTGCTAGTCAAATGCGTTTTGTTAAAATATACTTTTTCACTTTTTTGGTCTTTTGGAAAATGTTGTTTGTGCTGTATTTAGACCCCTCTACCAAGAAATTTGTTTTGCATGCACAAGTATAAAAATTGCGATTTTTATCCAACGCAATCATAGGTTTGAACGTTGTTTTCAATTAAGACTTGTTTATATTTTTTCGTTTGGGTTTGTATTATATTTGCTTTCGGGTTTATATGATCCGTTCGTCCTATTTCGACTCTTTCAAAATTCAAGAGTCTATCCTAAATTGAGGTTAATTATATGGCATCCAAATACTGTTTCGATTCCTAACATCACTGAAGAGACATTAATTGTCGAAATCCGGATATGGTGTTCAAATTTTTGCACCTCATGTTTGCGGTATACCATCTTTTCCGCAAGTTTATTGTTTTCTGTTTGGTAATAAATTATTATAAGATCCATTTTGTTACATCTGGTGATCCGTTTATTTGGCAATCGCCAATGGCAGTCAGCAGGGTTTAAGAACATCAGTTGTTCGACCTGCTAGTCAAATGCGTTTGTTAAAATATACTTTTTCACTTTTTTGGTCTTTTGGAAAATGTTGTTTGTGCTGTATTTAGACCCCTCTACCAAGAAATTTGTTTTGCATGCACACGTATAAAAATTGCGATTTTTATCCAACGCAATCATAGGTTTGAACGTTGTTTTCAATTTAGACTTGTTTATATTTTTTCGTTTGGGCTTGTATTATATTTGCCTTCGGGTTTATATGATCCGTTCGTCCTATTTCGACTCTTTCAAAATTCAAGAGTCTATCCTAAATTGAGGTAAATTATATGGCATCCAAATACTGTTTCGATTCCTAACATCACTGAAGAGACATTAATTGTCGAAATCCGGATATGGTGTACAAATTTTTGGACCTCATGTTTGCGGTATACCATCTTTTCCGCAAGTTTATTGTTTTCTGTTTGGTAATAAATTATTATAAGATCCATTTTGTTACATCTGGTAATCCGTTTATTTGGCAATCGCCAATGGCAGTCAGCAGGGTTTAAGAACATCAGTTGTTCGACCTGCTAGTCAAATGCGTTTTGTTAAAATATACTTTTTCACTTTTTTGGTCTTTTGGAAAATGTTGTTTGTGCTGTATTTAGACCACTCTACCAAGAAATTGTTTTGCATGCACACGTATAAAAATTGTGATTTTTATCCAACGCAATCATAGGTTTAAACGTTGTTTTCAATTTAGACTTGTGTATATATATATATATATATTTATATATATTGTTTTCTTTAGAGCTAGCAGTTAATATGTTTATTAAATAAAAATACGCCTCTCATTTTGAAAATGTTCTAGAAGACAGGATTAGATGCTAGTTTTTTTTTCCATCTTTCCAAATACATAGATAGAGTAAAGACAGAAACTCAATGCCTATGTGTTCGCTTTTAATGCTTTAGTGATGAAGACATACAAAAACATTTTGCATGTTTAATTTTGACCTCATTATCATCAACATCTTATTTATTGATCATTCCAATAACATACATACCTATATATTGACACAGCCTTTTATAGAGCTTATTTTAGGGGAATTTTAATGTAAAGCATACAGTATCAATTTGAACCATATGACAAAAATCTATCATATTTCCTTTGTTTGTATAACATTTTGTTGTCCTCCTTGTGAGGATTAAATTATCAAAGTATTCCCGGAAAATATAATTCTGTATGTTTTGTATTTTTATCATTTTTACATGCTTTATGAAGTCAATCAAATAAATGATGAGGGGTGTGTTTAACGACCTTGACTGGCTATAAAGCCCTCACACTGTCGATAAAAATGGCCCCGTCCATGCTAGTTTTTGTTTACCTTTTCTCGGCATGAAAAAAATACTATCCCAGAATTGTTTATTAAAAGTCAGTAATTGTGTAGTTAAACTAGGAAAAAGTATAACAAAAATACCGAAGTACAAGGTAATTTCAATAAGGGAAAGTTCATAAAAACTGAAAAATTCCAACTTTATCAACCAACGGAAATTAAAAAATCTTTAAATTTGTATTTAGCAATGCATAAATATAGGCAGAATATATAAAACAGCTGAAGATGTTATTTCATGATAATAAATGCATGTATTTATTTCTGGAAATCTTGAAACAACATACTATTCTGCAAGATTAATAATGCAATTTTAGCTTATATCAGTAGAATATTATGTACAAAGTTTCAGTAATTTCCATGGTTGGCTACTCACATTTTTTGCAATAATTTAAACATTGCGTATTTTTCAGAACTTTAGGTTTTTGTAAAATTCAATGGGAAATTCTTACTTGATGTGATACTGTTACCCTAAAACTACATTGAAAACAATGTTTGTGATAAGTTCAGAGATATTTATACAAAAACTATTCTTTTAAATAAAAAAAGAGTCAAGACAATCGATTGTGAGTCAAAACTTTTATGTGAAAAGATTATGAGTAAAGAGTTGTTAATTTTAAGGCAACGAAGTTTGAAGTAATTTGTTAATTCATGAACGAAAAATGATATTTTATGATATTTTTACACACACTTATACTATTTCAGGCTTCAGTTTATTCAAAACAAGGAAAATATAAGTTAGCAGAAGCTTTATATAAAGAAGTACTTACCAGAGCACATGAAAAAGAATTTGGAAAAGTTAATGGTAAGTTTTATTTTAGTGTTGTATCATGAACTCATGGTGGATTCTGTGTGTAGATCGCTACATAATCTTTTTGGAAACTGTAAACTGTTAAAATCAAGTTTTTCTGTATATTTAAGATAAAGTTCTAGATTATACGATGGTTTCTCAGCTAGCCCTGAAAGTTTGAAAAACCATTGATAATCTTTTTTTCGCTGTTATCGTAGGCAACGTCAATGACGATGGCTCATGATGTCATACGTTCTCATTATCTGTGAATATATGGCTTCTGCTGTAACACTTCAATGTGATTTGCCAAATTAGGTAAAAAAGCTTATGAATTTAATGATATATTTTTTAAAAGATCAGGTTTCATGGAAAAGTATTCTACCAGACAAAGAGACCTCATTCAACAACCTAATATGTAATATGTGAAGAGAGATATAAAGAAGATCACAAACTTCATTTATAGAGCCTTCATGCAAATGTATGCCACCATAATTTTTTTCTTATCCACATCAATTATTTAGACTCTTACAATTTTTGAACATCGTGAGTGTTTTTGAAAATAAGATCTTGCTACCGATTCCATTGGTCGATAAACAAGTTTGTTTTACAAATGCTTAACTTGCTTTAAGGCAATAGCCATGTTTAGTAAATATTAAATTTATATGAATAAAATCTATACAGTATCTTAAAGAAGATAAGATTTGATTATTTTCAGTTATATGACTACCATGGGTTCAGACACAATAAGGTGGCAAATATTTTTCAGGATGCAATAAAAAAATAGTTATATCTATCAAGCTATATATTTTACATATTGTTAAGAGTTGGTAGTAAAATAATAGTAACATACTATTTTGTAATGTATAAAAAGATCTTTGTGAAGTATATGGTACTATTTGATTTAACTGCAAATTTCATTGAATCAACATTATATGTTTTAGGTGATAATAAGCCTATATGGATGCAAGCTGAGGAAAGAGAAGAACATAAGGCAATTAGAAATATATCTTTTGGCCAGGATGCATTTGTCTAATTACACGCCCGTCAAAATTTTGACGGGACGTATTATGGTATACAAATGTCGTCTGCCCGTTTGTCCGTCTGTCCGTCTGTCTGTCTGTCCGTCTGTCTGTCCGGCGTAAACATGTCGCACCGTAATTTTACACACTTCTTAGTTCTATTAATCTAAAGATCTGTATACTTTTTGGTTTTGATTCAAAATTTTATTTTAGAGATATTGAGTTTTTTGAAAAAAAAGGGGGGTTTTCGCATGTCGCGCCGTATGTCAGAAACTATTTATGATTATTGCATAAAAATTCACACACAAGACGACGGGCGTATCATGCGCTCATGGCGCAGCTGTTTATTTTTCTTCTGTGATTGTGGTTGTACTTAATGAACCTAAATTATGTGAAAGAATCTTCTAGTATGTTCAAATGTAGTTGAAGTGATATTAAACAGATCTGTAGGAGAATGGTAATTCCAGGTTTATATATGTGAATGAAAAGATGGGCTGGTGTAAATATCATTGAGAAAAAAACATGTTAACACAAGTAAACCAAAAGTAGATTCATAGAGGTCAATATAGTGTTTTAGTGATGAACATCTGAAGATTTGACATCAATTCCTAAATGGACAAAAACACTTTTAAGTTGTGAAAACAACAACTATTTTTGGACAAATTTATAGTGATAAACATATTCATCATGTATATAATACATATACCACACACCTTAACATCATGGTTTGTTATTGTAGATATAAAGTTTTATTTAGGTAATATTTTTCTAAATTTATTTATGATATATTCCAGGGAAAATTGAAATATGGCACACCAATGCCTGAATATGGTGGTTGGCATACAACTGCAAAAATAGACAGGTATGTTAAATTGTTTACCGTGGTCTATTTTTTTCTTGTCATCAACCTCCTCTATCTGTTATCATTAGGAGTTTTTAACCTTGTTGATTCCTTCAATTTTAGATAATCGAAGATTTTTCAGAACAAAGACTTTTATCTATATTTTCCAGTTGATTTTGATTTTACATGGAGCTTCCCATTTTCAATTTATGCTGCTATATCAAGCCCAAGGTTGTGAACTAGATTTGAAATGTGGGAAAATATAGAAATGCCAGGTTTTTTCTATAAGTTGTATTACCAACTCGACAGTAATCATTTCTTTATCTCAGTTTACAGAGGTTTATGACTATGAAGGTACTACCTTCTGTTAATCACATCTTCTCGGCATCATTACTATAGAAAAAAGCTCGACTGCATCTGGGAACGTAGAAACGCCCAATAAATACAATTACACTTATTTTTTTTCAAAAGGTGAGAGCACATTTAAGGATATCTATGGGAAAATGCAACCACTGCCCATTATTTAATTAAAGTGTCCCCAATCCCATTGCAATTATTTAAACAGAGTTTAGCAGACTAATATAGAGCTTTCATTGAAATTTTGTTTAACCCAATTCTTAGTCCTTTCTATTTGTTATATTAGCAAGCTAAAGTGGTAGAAGGCATGACAATGAATAAATTAAAAGTACTTCTTAATAAAATCAAAAAACCAAAATTATATTTACTATTTATATATTTAACAGTCTCACAGTTTCCACAATATTAAAAAATTTGGGAGCTTTATACCGTCGTCAGGGAAAGTATGAAGCTGCCGAAACATTAGAGAAATGTGCAATGCGGTCCAAGAAAAATGTAAGTAACTTGGAATGTTTTGTGAATGTTGATATCTATATAATATGAAAACTTTTTGTATATCTGTGTGGGATTTGGTTCTTTGACATGTTTATTTTTTATTTTGTTGCTTTTAGAAAACTGATCTGTCATTTTAAAGAAAAAGATTTTGGAAGTTTTACGAATTATGGTCGTACACTCAATGCTCTTTAAATGTACCAAATAGCTGTTGAAAATCAGTCCTCGACCTTTTTAGTGTGAAAGAAAAACTTACTGTCACGATTCATAGTTCGTTATGATTTCCACAAGTCATATGGCATCAAGAAAAATAAGATGAAAATGTGCAAAAATGTAATACGATCAAATAAATATAAACAAAAATTAAAATAAATAATTTGGTTAAACAGTTTCTCTTTATGGAGTATCAATAGTTATCAAAACTTATTGCAGGTTAATCAATGATTGTATTTTTACAAAGAGAGGTGAAAATGTCTGAAATTCCCTTTTTATATGAATATTCGAAAAAAAACACATGGATTTTACAGATATTATCGATGTCAACTGAAAAGCAGAGTATTTCAAATTATAACGTTTCTATTTTCTAATAAGAAAAAAAGGTCCTTTAGTTATACATTTTATCCAAAAGATACAAGTTTTTAGCTTACAACAAATAAGTGGTCAATAAAATATGAATCAGTGTTTTTCTTTGTTTTCTGTGTTTACACATTGATAAAAGAATTTCATCAGTGCGCTTATCAAATTAAAAAAAGTAATCAAGTTTGTACTGATTTTTATATAGTTGTGAAATATTGTAGTTTATATAAAAAAAAAGGATGATCAATTTAATGCCTAACCAAAATTCTGTTCAATTTTGTTCACTGGAAAAAATGAAGTGAGAAAAAGTCAGCTAGAAAGCATTGTGGTTTTACAGTAAATATATTTCAGGGATGAACTGAGATTGATACAAATAACTTTATATAATATTTGAAGCATGCTGTTTCTTGTCATTGTTTAGATTTAGGCCATAAGAAATAAATATAGATATCTGTATCCCTCACTTTAGAAACATATGGGCAGAATTGAAATATTTCATATTGGAATTTTTTACCTTGCCAATAATCAAGCAGACAAAAAGTTTGGTCCCTTAAAAAATTATGCAAAATTTAAATTAGGTTGAATTTGGAGATAAGAACTTGAACAGCTAAAGTAATGACGAAAAGAAAAAGTTGCTTGGCGAAATGAAGAGTGTAAATTTATGCTATATTAAAAAGACTGGAGGCAATTTAGAGTTTAAAATATTGGATAAACACATCTGGAAATTTCTGAAATATGAATATTGCTAAGATAAACGTTGATTTGAATTGATAATCGAATGAACAACTTTGTATTGTCTCACATTTGAAGATTTTTTTTCTGCTGATATATTAATAATTACATGTTCATTACATTTTGTGATTGAATTGTAAATGTCACCATTAATAAACATTTTATAAATAACACATAGATGAGAGGGTGATAGAGCAGATTGTTACCCCGAGAAAACATTGTCAACTGAGGCGAAACCAAGGTTGACAATGTCTTTTCGAGGGGTAACAATCTGCTCTATCAACCTCTCATATATGTGTTATTTAATTTATTATACTGAACGTTCTGTTATTACTGTCTATTAAATATCAAATTCAAAGTAATAAACTATGTCGTCTTGTACATAACAATCATTCGTATAATAAAGCGCACACTTATGCAAGCGTCTCCGTGAAGGGTAATAGAGTACTTACCATGGAATAGAGTAAATTGTCTCCCTCGTATTAACCAATCAAAATCTGGCATTTTGACATGAAGTATAATAATTGTAAATAGTTTCTATGTTCTATCAGTAGATGTGAATGTTTTTTTTGTTACTGTGGATTCATTATTATTAGTGGGGTACACATTTTTTGTGGGTATTTAATTGTTCAACCTAAGGTCCGAGTACACAGTTATTTTACCCTATCTGTCCTTTATAACAAAATGATAAATATAGATCCACCACTGCATCGAGTGTGATACGATATTTATCCACTCGAGACAGTTAAATTTTCAAATTTAAAACGCGAGGCTCGCCGAGCGTTTTAAATATTTAAAATTTAACTGTCGAGAGTGGATAAATATCGTATTACACTAGATTTTGTGGTGGAATCTGTTTCTCTAATGATTTTCAAACAATACGAAGGCAAATTTATTCCTTCTTTTCGAATGATCTGCAAAAAGATGTGTTCTTTCTATGTGACGTCATCAGGCATGGTCGCCTTTTTTCATGCCGTCACAATAGGAAATTCAGAGGAAAGCAAGAAAATTCGACGTCATAATCGGATTTTAACCAATGAAGAACTGAGATCAAACGAACCACACGTTGATTAAATTATTTTCATACAATAGGTGCAGAAAGGGATAAATTGACGAAGAATTAGAGAAATGACTTTACATTCACATAAAAGCAAAAAAAAAAAAAAAATGGAAAAAATTCAAAGGAAAGGCAAAAAAAAAAAAATAAGAAAAAATATATTGAAATTAAAGGGAACTATATTTGTGGACAACGAAAATTGAGGGAAGATAACTGTGTATCCGGACCTCCTAGGCCCTTTTTAGTTATCCAAATGATATAAAATTTTATATTCATTATCTTTAATATATATCAAGACTGCATACTAAATTTCAGACCAATCGGACAATACTTGCACCAGTAATGACATTTCTTAAACACCTACCCTCATACCCAAATTTCAACAGTTTTCCTAGCATGAATTTGTCATCTTCCTATGACACCCACTTTATCAAAAGATTCATTATTTATTTCATTAGTGCAAGTTTTTAAAAGAATTAAAGTGATTCTGAAAGGTGCATCATTACACAAATTTATTCTAAGATAAAAATTCCCAAAATCAGAACTGTTCATGGTGCAATTAAAGTTAAATTTTCATTTTTTTGTAAATCAGTAAGATCCCAACTTAGAATACTTTTAAAATTCATATAAAATTTCAAAACTCATCCCTAAATTGTGAGAATTGCATTGAAAAATTCCAAATTCTAAATAACCTGTATATTCAACACTCCCTTTACATCATCTGCCCAAGGCTAAATATCAAATGTGATAAAAAAAATTAAAATGATATAAAATCCTTATTTCTTTGAATATTGAGATGAAGTAAAGTGTTTTGGAAAGGTTAAGAAGTGAGGAAATAATTGCAATTGAAAAATTTAATAAATAGTACAGTCTTTTTTTTCATTTTTTTTTTTTTTTTTAATTTGAAAAAAAATCAACAAAAAATTCAACACAAATTCACAAAATCACATTTTCTGAACAAAACAACTTTTAAAATTTGCCTAAATTAATGTTTTTTGAAATCTAAACAAGGAAAAAAAATATTTCCCATTAAAAAGGCCAAACAAAGGCATTTTCTTTGAAGCAGACCAAACCCTTTGAAGTTAAAAATCACTTTCTTTAATCCCACAGCTAAAAATAGATCAAAGCAATTAACAAAAATGATTGACAGCATCATTAAGCCAATTAAAAATCAGCATCAAAGTTACATAATGCAAAAAAGTATAAAAACTAACAATTTTGAGGTCTGTCATCAAAGTTTCATTCGACGCTTTACACTGCACCAGAATATTCTATTCATCATCAAAATGTTTCCAAAGGGTTCCCGTCCATTTAACAAGGACCTTATTGGACTGCAGAGAGGGAGAGTTGCACCTGGTTACAAGTTCAAGCATAACAGTACGCCATGGAATAAAGTCCCTGTCTTACAGCTGTCCACATCACCAGATCCAGAAGAAAACTATGCTCCTGCTGTTGAAATGAATGTTGAACAGAATGCTATCCTTGATGAATCCCCATGCACTTTTTCTACTTCACCTGCAGACAATGACAGAAAAAGGACTCGTTCCCACCTACTGGTTCCATCAGCTGACCTGAAAACAGAAAAAGAGTGGTGTTCAATATCTGGTATGAGGTTCGTCGACCATGAAGAGATGATGAAGATGCTCAACAAAGTTATAAATGTCCATACAAAGAAGTTTAGGCACTGTAAAACTCCTGAAATACTGGCACACAGACAGGAAAAATGGGGAGTCTGCTGGAAATATACCCTTAGATGCAAGAACTGTACCTACATGAGTCCAGTTATGAAGCTGTATAAGGAGATTGTTACAAATAAACCTGGTACCAACCCTGGAGCACCCAATGTAGCAGTAGCAGAAGCAATACAAGACTGTCCAATGGGGAGTACTAAACTCCAGGAGCTACTTGCCAGAATGAACTGTCCTCCTCCTTCAAGAACCAGCATGCACAGAATGACCCACAATGTTGGAAAAGAACTGGTACAACTTAATAATAGAGATATGGCAGACAAACTGGAGATTGTAAAGGCAAAAAATCAAGAAAGGAGACTTGCAAAGAATGAAATCAAAGTCATAGTCGACGGAAGGTACAACAGTCATACAATAACCAGTCGAAAAAAACCTGGACTAAATGCTACCCAAGGTTTTGCACTTGCCATTGAGACTTCCTATGTGGAAAGTTGAACGACTAGCCGACTATGTACACCTCGGACAGTCACAGTTTCGGGCATTACTGAGAGCTAAGTTCAGTGAATCCATGTTCTATGGGCGTACGAAAGAGATAAGGAAGGAAATGAAGAAAGCGTTTAGCCTAGATGTGAAGTGCAGGAGCTCAATGATCATTGGACAGCTAATGGAGAAGCACAACAAAGTAACAGAAGATGTGTGTAAAGACTTACCCTAAAGTCCTGGAGGCTTCACTCAGATGTTATGATGGTGACTGCTCCATGTGTAAACAATACTCTGTACCGATGACGAGGGTTATAACTGGTGGACTCGGTCCAAGTATCTAGAATGCTACAATATCACTGTCCGGCAAATGGATGGAAAAGACAAATTATTACTACAAGAAATATTGAAGATGAAGCTAAGTGAGCAAGCATTGAACAGCATGAAGTTATATGGCACCACCAATAAGAATGAAGGTGTTCATAGAGCCCCCAGTGTCAACTTGCCGAAGAATTTATTCATTCAAGAGGCATGCAAGCAAGATTGGCATTCGGAATACACCGTAACAACAACAAGCCAGGAACATCAGCCAAAATGAAGTGTGAACAGTTTGGGGTTAATTTGTCGGAGAGCAGTTTACAGTTTTTTTTAGCAAAATGGACAGCGACTATACTTACAAACAAGAATATGAAAAAAAACCTGAAGGTAAACGTAGACGGCTAACTCGGAGTGGTGAAAAAATATTGGAACACAGAGAAGCTAAGCAAAGCCGAAAGAAGTGTGATGTTTACAGAAAAGGACAGTTAGACCCGGTTCCTGCATTGCTAAGCCATAGTACAAACTGTAAAAGGCCACTTCCATCTACACCTTAGATGACAGACACCCAGCCAGCCAGCAGCACATAATATTATCCAAAGGTCCTTTTAAGGACCAACCATATCTTTCAAAAAGAAGTCTGAAATTGTTGTCTAAATCAATAAAATAATTAAAAGATAGAAAAATAAATAAATAAATAAATAAATAGACCTTAAAAGATAAATAACATAAATAATACCAATATTATTGTTTGCCATCTTCAGGTGTACCTTGCAAGGTGGCAAAGGGTCTGGATGCCCAAGACAATGACCACACGAAATGCATGTTTTTCTACTGTTGTTGAAGCCGTGTGGCTCTAACACAAGATGATCAACATTGATACATTTTGTGTTGTGGCACAGGTGCGAGACATCAAAATTGGGTAGTTGAAAATTAAGATGCCTTATCATGACGCAAGTCTGTGAACATGCATTTGTTTCCACCCGCCGGCATTGGGAAACTTGCAATTTATCACCCCATATTTTCCATTTGGTGTACAAGCCCCAGTCCAAATCAGACAATGTCCATTTTGGCCAGGGGCTGAATTTTCTGACAATTTTCCTGAATATTTTTGTATTATTCCCTCCATTTAACTTTAAAGAACTTTTTTTACACTTGTATGTGTAGTAATTTGCCCCAAAAAGAGAAAAATTATGAACCCCTGTTAGCAAAATTGAATCAAAAGTTACAACAAGTAAAAACATTTCAACCAGAAGGCCAAAAAATGTTTTTTTTTGCAATTTAAAATTTTTTGTGCATATTTTCTATAAATAAACAATAAATTATCTTTAAATTTCAATTTTGAGGCAAATTGTGCAAATCAGGGGGCCACAAAGTCGATTTTTAGATAAAGTGGGTTCTGCCTCTTAGGTCCGAGTACACAGTTATTTCCCCTAGCTGTCTATTATAACACAATGATAAATAAAAAAAATCCCACCTGCGCTTTTCTAACAAGATTTGTTGTACATAAAGTTTGGCATTAACCACAAAACATATCAAAAAATAAGAAAACTTCATTGGCTCATTTTCTTTTGGCAACACAAAACACAAGAACACCAGTATGGGTTAAGCCAGAGAGCTTCCGAAAAGAGGAAAATAACACCTATGTTTACCCAACCAAATCACTCATTTCTGCTCAAAATATCAAAAAGAAATTTTACAGAAATTATCTTAGATGACTTTACATTCACATAAAAGCAAAAAAAGGGGACAAAATCAAAGGAAAGGCCAAAAAAAAAAAAAAATTAAGAAAAAAATATACTGAAATTAAAGGGAACTATATTTGTGGACAACGAAAATTGAGGGAAGATAACTGTGTACCCGGACCATAAGAAAAACCTTTAGGATTGTATCTGGAATGTTTTAAATTTGAAATCAAGTTTGCACAACTGTACAATTTTTTCCTTAATCCTCAAAAAGTAATGCCCATGAAAGTAAATAAATCCACAGTATTAAAATCTATTTAGTGATTCGTATTTATTGATTATCAATATTAAGTAAATGATGTACTCTTTAAAATGTTGTATGAAAGAATTGTTAAGTTATTTCGGTCCACGCAACAATTGTTTCTTGCATTAACTTAAGATTACATCTTTTAAATTATGTTCACATATTTTTCTAGTCAATGAACAACTTTTCAGGTTATAAAACTGTTTTTAATTTACTACCACGTAATGAATTAACACAGGCATGCGACAGAGGCTGATTTTGGAATGTTTGTATTTATTTCTTATTGTATATATAGATTTTTCCAGAAAGCAGTTTCTTGGCAGAAAAGAAGATGAAACTTGTCTTAATTGAATCCAGATGATGCTCTACTTGTAATGTTTTGTTAACTAATAAATATCTTTTCTTTGTCTATAAAATGCAAGGCAAGATTAACATTTAGGTACTTGAGAAAGGCAAGGTGAAGTAACATTGTGGCAGTTTTGAAAGGCAAGGCAAGACAGTCGTTATTATTTCCCTGACACATTTTGGTTTTCTTGTAGGCCTTAGATGTTGTCAAACAACAGACCAACTTAACTGACATAGGCAGTGAATATATAAACAACAACCGACGGAGATCGGCCAGCCGAGATAGAGTATTCAAAGGCTCTATGGAAAACATATCAAACAATAATTCTACGAAATATGACGACGTAAGTATCAATCGTTTCTGGTAAATATTAGTATTGCACAGCCAAAATCTTTTAGATTTAGGATCCCGTCATTTTTCTACATCCTGCTGTTAACTTTGTTGCTATTTATAATTTTGTTTTGTTCATGTTTTCCTGGAATGATTTTTTCCCCTTATTTGGATGATAGTATTTTTACCATTTCGTTATAATTTGATTTTGTAAAGTTAAAAAACTATACTACTTTTTTTAATTCTGATTGGAGATTGCTTAATAAAGGTGATCTGTCTGCATGCTCTAACCCTGCATGTTTGTTTTTTTTTTTATCTCGGAATATAGGGACCTTAAATCTAAATATAGAATTGAACATTTTATTCAAATAATTTTGTACTGAAAAAAAGTAACTTGATCTAATTGTCCACAGAATGAAGAAAACGCCTTAAAAAATCATTCATGCTTTTAACTGCGGCTTCAATAAACAAAAAAGAAAATGATTGTTGAGCAAGGTTTTTCGAGTGTTTGATTATTTTGCATGATTTCAAAGTCTTTAACTTCAGCTTGCATGCCACTAGCTAATTTTTCACTTCAATGATTTCCTTTCACATTATTAAAGTAATTGCATTGCATTGAGTAGTATTGTGACAAGTTGTAAAATTTTACCTAAACTTACTATATATGTATGTGCACGTGTGATAATCCTGAAATGTAGCTTGCTATTTATTAACAGTGACGTAATTTAATCTCTGCATTTTTGTCCTAATTTTTGTTTTTATCATTAAATTATTACCTTCAAATTACGTAGGGCAAATTAAGGAGAAGTGGGACTTTTTCCAAACTACGAGCCTCGATACGACGTAGCAGTGCAAAACTGGTGCAGAAATTAAAAGGAAAAGGTGACGAGAATTCTGGGAGGTAAGTTACTATGGTGATGGAGGAATTGTTGGTAACCTACATTGAAAGTCCTTCATCTGTTGCTTTAATCTTGCCTGGCATTTATATATTGTAAACAGTATAATGTGTTTGTAACACAGATTTGGTAAGCGGATATCAGTGTAACGTTCCCTTCTTTTTTAATTTGGTGTTTACTTTTTCATGAACCCTACTTACTTTTAAAGCTTGTAGCTTAATAGAGCAGTTTGTTATTTGTTAAAATTGTTAACAATTATATTACTGCATATTATTATTTCCTACATTTTACTTAAAACAACTTGCATATTTGTACTTTTATATTTGCAATGGTAAGGTTGTTTTTAGATGTGAAAACAAAATGTTATTTTAACAAAGCATCTTTAATAACTAAAAGAATATCTTCGAAAAATTAAATAATCTGAGATAATGATTTAAAAATATAGAAAATGTCATGTCAAAAATGTCTTACTTAAGGTCAAGTTGAAGTAATTTTAAAATAGAAATGTCCCACAAATTTGATTCTATGAATTGTAGAACTTCTTCGGACTATGCAAAATTATGAAGAGGTTCATTATAAAAGGTGTTTTACATTGAGTGGAATGCTTTTGTAATTTAAGACTAACCTTTACAGATACAGATGAAAAATTTATAGATGAATTAATTTTATTTTGATGAACCTTATAGCAGATTTATATGTAAATTGTATCAACGTTTCCGTACAGCCCTGCTATTTTTTTCTCTGTGTATGCAGACATTAAATGTATATCGTTTTAATCCTGCAGCAAAATCTTTAATCTTAAATATTCATAGCTCTCAACTATTGTCTTTATTTAGCATAAACAAATTTACATGACTTGTATGTGGGTCACAAAGTGTTCACAAAATCAATTGATTGTTGTTCGCTAAATTGAATTGCATTCACTCATCTTGTAAACTCTTCAAATATTTCAAAAGTAAGAACAATTGCTGGATGAAAGCTATTAAGTAGATTTCTACAAGGCATTAAGTTACTGCAACTTGACCTTAATTGTTTTGTAGATTCTGTCAATTTTGACAAGTATTTGGTTTTTATTTATTTTTTGAACATTTTGTCATTTTTTTTATTTTTGTTCATTGGAAATTCTCATTTTACCAAAGATTTTTCTTTCAAGACCATTGTGTTTTTGTAGTGAGCCTGTTTTGGTCTTCACGCTCTTTGAATGCAATAGCAGGTATTACTTTCTATAGACAATATAACACTTGCTAATAACTTGCTAGACGTGTATAACATTAGAACGTCTCGTTTTTCTGGTCTTTAAAAAGTCACCTCAAAATAATTTCTTCTCTTCTTCATCATATATCCTTTCTTAACGTGTAGGATTTGATTTGTAATTTTTCACAAAAGTAGAAATGGTGTGTTTTTTTTATTTCTCCTTTGGCACTGTTTCTTTGCATAATGCCAATTTTTTTACAAATGATAACAGTTCTATTAAAAGAAAATCTTAATTTGTGTTGTACTGGTTTTGCAAATGAGAATTTTTTATATATTTCAAACACAACATTTTTTGTTGGCCTTGATGACTTTTTTAAGGCATTCTGTGTATCTTTAAAAAGGATTCTGTGGGAGTTTTTACTAGCCTGATAAGTTGTTTATTGGTCTTGGAGTAGGGGGCTTGTAGTTTATGCTGAAGACTGCACATAAACTTAAGATAATGACAGATTTGTTGAAATATTTGCCCATTTTCCATTTTATACAAAAATAACACCGATCTTTACTTTGATAACATTTTATTTTGAATGGATATTCCTGATTTTTTTTATAGGTATATATTAATATTTATTTGGAAATAGGAGGTGGTTTGTATTTAGATATGGATTTTGCTATACCATCTTCACTTTAAAAGATATTTCTTTCCAATTTACAAGACTTATTTATTTTAAAAGTACAATTTCTATGGGAAAGCTTGAACTTGTATCAATTTTCCACAGGGCTAAATGGGCTTACCTCAACTCTACCAACATTAACTCTTGGGTTGAGGTTTCATTAAATGGGGAACAAATCCTTACTAGACTTAAAAATGTAATTTCTCTAGGAAACTTGAAATTGGAATAACAAAGCCCAGATGTTAGCTGAAGATCTTTCAAATTTAAATCACTCAAAAGGGAAAATGAAAATAAAAAGTCAAAATAAATACTGTAAATTCATAAATTATTGCTTGCACTTATTATTACTATTGCTGATCAGTTGACAAAAATGGAGATTAATTATTGAGGTTTCAGGAAATGCTACATAAAATAAAGCTATACAATTTAAATACGAGTTGTAATTTTCGAAATAACAAAAACATCGCAATAATTTCTGAATTTACAGTATATGTAAAAACCATGAATGAAAAGTCTTCTTTATGAAAGTAACATTTTGACCTGCTTTAAATGTGTAAACAAGAAAGAAACTTGTATTTTTTGGTTAGGTTTATCTTGACTATTGATATAGCAAACATTATAAGGATCTGGTTTTATTTATAGACCTCTTTTAGATATAGACTGCATGATGTGTTTCCATATTAATATTCTGATTTATTATAACAGTTGGTATTACTATGAACAAAATACCCTTCTACCTCGCTATTGGGGTACAAATGACGGGGATACTAATGATATGACAGGAAGGAGGTTTGTAATATTGGTTTGACCCCTGTATCACTAATCCTGTATACATTTGTATATCAGCACTTGACATTCAGCTTTTCAGACCGCTAGACCATCTACATGTGGATTTTATCAAGCAATGATTTTTTGGGGATAATTGGATTTTTTTTATACGTGTATTCCAATTACAAAATAAAATCTGGAAAGATGAACATTTATAGATATTTAAATTTAAATTTTGAAAAATTTCAAATTTTGGATTTGAAAAATGGAAAATTTTGGATATTTAAATTTTAATTTTGGAAAAATGGAAAATTTTGGATATTTGAATTTAAATTTTGGATATTTAGATTTAAATTTTGAAAAATGAAAATTTCTTCTATTAATCATGATTAATATGATGCAAACTTTAATGTGGAATTATTTATATTATGCTTGATAAAATCCAAGATCATGTTTTCTTCCAGCTTATATAGATCTCAGATAGACAAAATATTTGATAATAATGTTTATTTCAGATATTTGGTCTAGACTATTTATGCAGATAATAGAGCTATTAATTAATGATATGTTTAATTACAGGATTATTACTTAAGAATTAATCTATGAACATGTCAAAATCAGCCTTATAAATCTAGCTTGTGTTGTATCGTCTTATTATGAATTGAAATATATATATATATATATATATATATATATAAATGTATGCAATATGGAGTATATGGATTATGTTAAAAGTAAATATGTTTTTAGATTAGATATTTAAATTAATTTTTTTAGAATAATTTTTTGAAAGTTGCACACCTAAACATGAACCGTTTCCAACACAAAATGCCTGCAACAAATGCTTCCTTTTCAATAGAGCAGATTTCATCACAACAGCAACCAGTATAGAATTACCCAGAAAATTACATTTGAAAATAATTGCATAAATAGAAAGTTTTGCTTGAAAGAATTATTAAAAAGCACTTAAGAAAGATATTTGTTCCATGGTTAATTGGTCTCGTACAGTGTAACTGATTGATGAAGAGAAATGTAAATTCTGAAATTCTCATTCTTTATGTATGACAGTAGACGGGCAGTTTGAAATTGTTTATATTTTCATTGATATAAAGATAACTTTGATGTTGACCTTTGTATTTTCAGTATGAAAAGAGCAAGCTCCATGTCAGTGCTCAACACAAATAGTAAAGATGAAAAATTTAGTGTAAGTATCCAATTATTATAAAGATAAATTTAACTTGTTTTTTATAACTTCCTGTGACAAAAATTTCATGTGTTTTAAGGAAATAAATCATCAGTTTCAACTTTGTGGCCCCTGGACATAAAGCAATCAACAATCATTTATTCAACTTGGTAACCCGCTTAAAAAGAAAAGAAGCAAAATCTGATGTTGTTTATCTGTCGGACATTAATCCTGCTGTGATAGATCCCACTTCAACTTTTTGTCAGAAAAATACATTGTATTACTCTTTGATACTTTAAATAGTTTTTGTCTTGACCTTAAAAATCAACCAGCATTCTATATGTATCATAGTTATATATGAATTAAGAATTGCATGCCTAAAAATGGTTGATAGTTTTTGAAAATTTTTAATGAACAGGACAGTGCTGGTGAACTAAGTTTTGTGATATTTATAAACTCTTAATTTGTGATCATGCTTAAATTTTTTGCTTGATTGAAACTCAATGAAAAAGTATATAAGCATTACATAATTAGTGACATGAACTTCACATAAAATAGGGTATTTACAAACAAAGATATATGATAAGGCTAATAATAAATATGACCGTGGAATACCAAACATTTCAATACTCGTACAAGTCCATGAACAAACAAATTAATATAGATATATTTCTTTGATTCAGGAAAGTAGGCGTTCTTATGGTGATTTACGACAACAAGGACGGACAGCCAGTTCAGATCAACTCATTAATCGACCATTTTGACAACAGCTATAGTTTTAGACTTCATGTACAATAATGCAATATTTGACAAGCTTTTTTGAGATTTTAATTTGTGGGCATCGTCAGATTTCGTCTTGCCGCTTTCAGTTTCAGTTCTTGTAAATATGGCATTTTACGCCATTAATCCAATGTAATTTATGTATTCCATATTTTAAAATTATATCTCAGTAACGGTGTCTAATCATAACAAAAGGGTAGGCAACTCCGTATTGACAAGAGTTCATTCCAAATGTATCATACAACGCTTCCATCATTCACTCATTAATATGCATCATTAGTGTGAAAATGTGTTAAAAACTCAGTTTAGTAGATACAAACGGAAGAAAATTGGAAAATCTTGCCACTGTCAACTTCAAGTATGATTTCAAATTAATCAAATCCAGTCAAAAAACTCCCTTTCATTTTGAGCACTTTGGATGAAAACATCAATTGCTTTATAAAAGAGTGTTAGAATTTAAATTGTGACAAAAATTGCTTAATTAATGTCAGTAAGTAATGAAGAGTAAGCCTAGTTTGTTTTCAAGAAACAATGTTCCAGGATTTTCCGAGTTTCTTCTAACTTGCTGTAAAAACAAAATGTATCAAGTGTTGAATCATCAATATTAATGAGTGTTGTGGTTTTCAGATATCATTTTCAGTCTTTCAAATTTTGTGCAAATTTATTTTTAAACTGATTGAGTGGTCAAATGACTTGCTGTTATTGAAGAATATACAGTGTTTTAGAACACAAACTACAAAATATTAATGATTTTTTTCATATAACGTTATAGCCTTGAAAATTCGCGGAGGTGTATAAATTTGAAAAAAAAGACTCCCATGTATCATTTTATGTAAGAATTGATTATAACACAATGAGACTTGAAATATTATATGCACAGATCAGTTTTAAACTGGGTTTTCTTTGACATTTAATTTATACTCATTTTATTTTATTTTGTTGTGTGTTACACATGTTAAATTCTTAAAGGATATATTCCAAAGTTTAGAATCACATTATTATGTACATACAAAAGAAACAACTGTTTGAATGAATCATTGTCAGGTAGTCCATATAAAGCTTCATTAAAATTAATTACTTAAGATCCAGTCAACTAGTGTTGAATCCACCATTTCTGTATCTAAAGGATTGTGGGTAATCTCATTGTTCATACCCCAAAATGAAATTCCATCACATCATTGGTTGAATTCCCATTGTTTATGACGTTGTAAGCCAATCACAACGTTTTGGTGAAAATATTACACAGAATTCATTAGATTCTGAAAAGGCAAATTGTTCATTCCTTTCTCTGTAGATATTGGAATTTAAGGATGTTGACAACTTTATAAAGACATATTAAAAAAATATAAACATAAAACCGTTGTGAGGCTGTATATGTATGCTTAGATACTCAGTTCATAAGGATGATCTCGTCATAAATTGTAGTCTTACATCATATCTAAAAATAAACCATGGAGTTAATTTGTACCAAGGATTAAAGATCTCACACTCGGAAAAGATCTAAATACAATAGAAAGTACAAAAGTTCAAAATATATGTATATGTGCTGGCAGTAGTAAATTGGTTATTTTTTTAGAGAAATTACACTTTAATGACGATATACAACATTCATTTAAGTTATTTTGGGTTATATAATTAATTGCTTCTAGTTATTTTCCCATACTATTTGTTATTTTTGGTTAATGGTATAAGCTTTGTGTAATAAGGTATTAAGAAAAGTGTTATGATACTTTGCTATTTGACTCCATTCCATGACAAAGTGCTGAATAGGCCACATAAAGTAAGTTCCTTGATTCTCATCCTTCCACCCTTTTTTGTTGTGCATGTTTAGAAAAAATTTAAACATAATTTTGTTATAAATTTAGATTGAAAATGACTTGTTTTGGTATTATAAAATTTCTCATCCACCATTTTTTAGGGGGGGGGGAGGGGGTGTCTATCAAAACTGAACTCTCGAGAATATCACCAGGACATTGTTTACTGAAGTTTTCTATGAAGAACCAAAAGTGCCCCATTCTTTTAGTTTCACTTTAGATTGATGAGAATCCAGGAATTTTTTTATGTGGCCTTAATGAAATGTACTAAATGTTCTGCATGCTGTAATGTGCTACCTGATGTAATTCCCAAATCAACACAGTTTAGTGTAGATAAAAGTTGTTGACATTTTATAGATAAGTTACAAATCTGTATTAGTTTGTGACAAATGAAAGAAAAAATATTTGGGACTATTAATTATATTTGATTATAATTTGAAAATAGATATACACTGTATTACATCAATTCATATTTTAGAGAACTATTAATCATATCTAATGTTTTTTTCACTCATATAATCAGTTTTCCACACTGTTTTTAGTCATGCTTGAAGATATTGGCATGATATTTACTTTTTGTTTACACCATGACAAGTTATAGAACAAGCTAGCATTTTGTTCCAGTAAAATGAATTTTTACCCGGTAGGGGACTATGTATTGCCATGCAATACTCTCAGAATGCTTGTTATACTTTTTGCGGTCGTCCATAGACACATTGGTTTTTGCACAATTACTTTAGTTTAAGTGAATGGATCTCCATGAAATTTTACCATAAGGTTCAATACCACAAAAGGAAGGTTGGGTTATGGTACCAATAGTTAAGGAATTAGGGGCCAAAAAGGGGCCAAAAATAAGCATTTTTCTAGTTTCCAGACAATAACTTGTGTGTTAGTGTAGGGATCTCTCTGAAATTTTACCACAAGTTTCCATAATTTAAAGCAGTGTAAGGGAGGTAATACAAATACATCATTTAAATTACCTCCCTTACACTGCTTCTAAATTATGTATAAAGTAATGGTTAATGAACAATTGAGACAATTTAAAAGCAGTGTAAGGGAGGTAATCCAATTTTTTCTCATTTCAGAGTTCAGAAATTAAAAAGAAAAATTCTTCAAATATTATTTTTTTGGCAAAAAAAAGTGTGTGTGTGTGAGTAGGGTTAATACCCAACAGCATAGTGTATTGCACAAAAGCAAAAAAAAAAAGGGGGGGGGGGGGTAAATTTTTTCATTTTTTTTTGTGCGTCTGTCTGGCTGTCCGTCTGTACGTTCGTCCCAAAATTAGTTTCTGTTTTCTAACTCTAGTTTGCCTCAACCAAATGGTATGAAACTTATACACAATGTTTATTACCACATAACACAAATCAAGTTTGAATTTTGGTCGCGTCACTTTTACCTGTATAGAGTTATGTCCCTTAACAAATGGAAAAATTGCTGAATTTTTCGTTTCCGATTTCTAACTTTAGTTTGCCTTACCAAATATTATGAAACTCATACACAATGCTTATTACCACAAAACTCAGATCAAGTTTGAATTTGGGTAGCATCACTTTTACAGTTCTAGAGTTATGTCCTTTTATAACGTTATATGCAAGCGTGGCCATCATCTGTGTCCAATCGACACATTATCCATTTATTTATATAACATTCCAGCAGCACCTGCATATGGAGTAATTTCATTTGACATAATATTCCAAGGCTAACTTTTCCTATGATTTCCTTGATATACAGTTTCTGTTTACACAGAAGCTATTGAACCAATGGTTTCAATGGGAAAATTTATCTTTTTGAAAGTTTTAAGGACACCATCATGATTGAGATAACCGTTATGGAATACCTGTCTCATAAATGATCATGGATTTGATCCACTTGTTAAAGCCGCATTCCTTTTTTATGACATCACTGAATATGACTGAAAACTGAAAACGATACTTGGCTAAATATTATTTGGTACAACAGATACATGTTTGTCTACATAAGACTCGTCAGTGGTGCTTGAATTTAAAAGTTGGAAGACCAAATCAAATCTGAAGTTAAAGAGCACTGAAAAACAAAAATTTCAAAAAAATTGTGTCAAGAAAGCAGTCTATCTATGTCTGGAGGTAGAAAAACCTTAGTGTTCGAGTAGTTCAGCATTTTATAAACAGTAAATATATAGAAATTTAACGTTTTATAAACCGTTAATATATAGAAATTAAATGTTTTATAAACCGTAAATATATAGAAAATGAAAGTATCAATGATATTTCATGTCAACGCAAAAGTGCTAACCACTTGGCAGGTGATACCTTCAGGAACAAATGATCCACCAACTGTGACATTGACCCAGTGGTTGTAAAAACACATCAGAGATAACATACTTATAATTTGGTACGCCAGGAACTGCTAAGCCTTCATGAGATCACCCCCCCCCCCCCCCGTTTTTGTCCCCTTGCAACGCGTTGCAAGGGGACATAGAAATACTGGGCGTCCGTCCGTGCCTCCATCCATCCAATCTTGTTAACGCTCTCGCATGTACAATTTTTTGCCAGATATTTATGAAACTTATATCATAGGTTTATATCAGCAATGTCTTGGATAAGTTCAAAATCAGTGCTGATCGATACAATTATTTTTAAAAGAGTTATGCCCCTTGAAAACATTAATTATACGGAAAATTGCGTCGTTAGCGCTCTCATTTTTTCAATTCTTTCCAGATTTTTTTGAAATTTATATCACAGGTTTAATTCAGCAATGTCTTGGATGAGTTCAAAAATCAGTGCCGATCATTTATTTTTTTAAAGAGTTATGCTCCTTGGAAACATTAATTATACGAAAAATTGCATCGTTAGCCCACTCATTTGTTCAATTCTTGCCAGATTTTTATGAAATTTATATCATAGCTTTATATTAGCAATGTCTTGGATGAGTTAAAAAATCAGTGCCGATCAATTAATTTTAAAAGAGTTATGCCCCTTTGAATCATGAATTATATGAAAAATTGCATCGTTAGTGCTCTCATGTGTTGAATTCTTTCCAGATTTTTATGAAACTTATATCATAGGTTTAATTCAGCAATGTCTTTGATGAGTTTGAAAATCAGTGCTGATCAATTATTATACGACCGCAAAAATTTTTTTTTTGGAGGGGGGTAAAAAAATTTGTGGGGGTCAATTTTGTTCCCCTCAAGATTTAAGAAATTGTCAATTTTCCAAAGAAAAAAATTGGGGGTCACAATTTATTTTGCTAATTCTTTGTATATAGTCTGAAAACAGATTTACTAAGTATTGCGCAACAGCACAGTGTATTGCACAACAGCAAGAAATCTTCAATTGAATATAAATTCAAATCATACACCCAATTTCAAGTTCTTTGACTACATTTATTCTGTGTCAGAAACCTATAATGTGTCAAATATTTAATTACAATCCAAATTCAGACCTGTATCAAGATTGAATATTGTGTCCATTTTTGCCCCAACTGTTCAGGGTTGGACCTCTGCGGTCGTATCAAGCTGCGCTCGGCGAAGCAGTTTATTTTTAAAAGAGTAATGCCCTTGGACACATTAATTATGTGGAAAATGGCATTGTTAGCGCTCTAGCTCATGTGTACAATTCGTGCCAGATTTTTATGAAATTTATATCATAGGTTTATATTAGCAATGTCTGGGATGATTTCAAAAATCAGTGCCGATCAATAATTTTTAAAAGAGTTATGCCCCTTGGAAACATTAATTATACAAAAAATGTCTGAAACTTTCGAAAATAAGTTCTGATCAAACATTTTTAATGAGTTATACCCCTTATAAATTTTAATTATAAATGAAAGCACATTGCATTTGCTCTGAAGACTTCAATTCTCTAAGATATTAATAAAAAGTTTTAAAGAACAAAATAAAGTGCTTTTTTGGAAAGATTGGAATTGTTCCAATTCTTTCCTAAGGCACAGGCCTCCCAAACAGAAAGTAGACAGATTTGCTACTAAATCAGCACGTGGCAGGTATGCTAAACTCTAATCTTAATTGACTAAGATTGTCAGTTTTCCTACAGAATGTCGGTTGTTCTCTCCGTACACTCCGGCTTCCTCTACCAATTAAAACTGACCTATCTATCTACTGAACTATCATAAGATACATTAAAAGTAAATTTCGCCATCTTATTCTATTTGATTTAACCAGTAAATTGATGTTCTCATAGCAAACCAAAGAAATTCTTCTAGAGTTGAAGCAAACAAGAAACATATCCTACAACTGGCCTTCTGAGATTCTTGTATGAAATCTTGATTACTTTAGTATCTAATTTTATTGAAAGCATCTTATTTTCATTTTATTTTCCGCTTTACTCTACTGTTTAATAAAAATAATACTTTATAAATTTCGTGCGTCAGAAACTAGGTTGACATTCATCAGTAATG